CCGAGCCGACTAGGTGAAAAATCTGCCGATGTGCCCTTAACCCTAATTGCTCCTGTAAGTCGCTCTGGATAAGAGCGTCTGCTAAATGACTAAAATGTAAATGTAGTTTTGGTAAGTAGGTGTGTGGTTGTGGTCAGTAGTGTTGTGGTTCAGTAGTTGTGGTCAGTAGATGTGTGCTTGTGGTCAGTACTTGTTTTCAGTAGTTATGGTCTGTAGTTGTGTTGGTGTGGCCAGTAGTTGTGTGGTCAGTAGTTGTGTGCTTGTGGCCAGTAGTTGTTTTCAATAGTTGTGGTCAGTTATGGTCTGTAGTTGTTGTGGTCAGTAGTTGTGGTCAGTAGTTGTGTGGTGGTCAGTAGTGTTGTTGTTAGAAATTGTGGTCAGTCGTTTTGTGGTCAGTAGTTGTGGTTTAGTAGTTGTGGTCAGTAGCTGTGTGATTGTGGTCAGTAGTCATGTGGTTGTGGTCTAGGGTTGTGGTCTCATTGTGTGGTTGTGGTCAGTAGTTGTGGTTTAGTAGTTGTGGTCAATAGCTGTGTGGATTGTGGTCAGTAGTCATGTGGTTGTGGTCAGGTGTTATGGTCTCATTGTGTGGTTGTGGTCAGTAGTTGTGTGGTAAGTAGTTGGTTGGTTGTGGTCAGTAGTTGTGTGGTTTGGGTCAGTAATTGTGGCCAGTTGTGGTCAGTAGTTTTGTGGATGTGGTCAGTAGATTTGTTAAGCAGGTGTGTGGTTCAGTAGTAGTGGTCAGTAGTTGTGTTCAGTAGTTGGTTGGATGTGGTCAGTAGTTGTGTGGTTGTGGTCAGTAGTTGTGTGGTTTAGTAGTTGTGTGGTCAGTAGTTGTGTACAGTAGTGTTCAGTAGTTTTGGTAAGTAGGTGTGGTTGTGGTTCAGTAGTTGTGGTCAGTAGATGTGTGCTTGTGGTCAGTCGTTGTTTTCAGTAGTTATGGTCTGTTGTTGTGGTCAGTAGTTGTGTGGTTGTGGTCAGTAGTTTTGTGGTTCAGTAGTTGTGTGCTTGTGGTCAGTAGTTGTTTTCAGTAGTTGTGGTCAGTTATGGTCTGTAGTTGTGGTCAGTAGTGTTGTGGTTAGTAATTGTGTGGTTGTGGTGGTATTGTGGTTCAGTAGTTGTGTGGTCAGTAGTCTTGGTCAGTAGTTGTCAGTAGTTGTGTTGTTGTGGTCATTAGTTGGTTGGTTGTGGTCAGTAGTTGTGGTTGTGGTCAGTAGTTTTGTAATTGTGGTCAGGAGTTGTGGTCAGTAGCTATGGTCAGTAGTTGTGTAGTAGTTGTGTGGTCAGTAGTTGTTCTTGTGGTCAGTAGTTATGGTCAGTAGTTGTGTTGTGGTCAGTAGTTGTGTGGTGCAATAGTTGTGTTGTAAATAGTTGTGGTTGTGGTCAGTAGTTGTGTGGTGCAATAGTCGTGTTGTAAATAGTTGTGGTTGTGGTCAGTAGTTGTATGGTGCAATAGTTGTGTAGTAAATAGTTGTGTGGTTGTGGTCAGTAGTTGTGTGGTGCAATAGTTGTGTGGTTGTGGTCAGTAGTTGTGCACTTTTAGGAAAAAAAGGTTCTGGAAATAATCAAAAAGGGTTATTTGCTCGCTTCATATACGGCACCCCATAAGGTTCTATATAGACCCAAATTTGGTTCCATATAGAACACTGTAACTTCTTCTTTAAGAGGCTCCTCTGTCCTCCACTCGTTACCTATATTAATGGCACCTGTTTGAACTTGTTATCAGTATAAAAGACACCTGTTCACAACCTCAAACAGTCACACTCCAAACTCCACTATGGCCAAGACCAAAGAGCTGTCAAAGGACACCAGAAACAAAATTGTAGACCTGCACCAGGCTGGGAAGACTGAATCTGCAATAGGTAAGCAGCTTGGTTTGAAGAAATCAACTGTGGGAGCAATTATTAGGAAATGGAAGACATACAAGACCACTGATAATCTCCCTCGATCTGGGGCTCCATGCAAGATCTCACCCCGTGGGGTCAAAATGATCACAAGAACGGTGAGCAAAAATCCCAGAACCACACGGGGGGACCTAGTGAATGACCTGCAGAGAGCTGGGACCAAAGTAACAAAGCCTACCATCAGTAACACACTACGGCGCCAGGGACTCAAATCCTGCAGTGCGAGACGTGTCCCCCTGCTTAAGCCAGTACATGTCCAGGCCCGTCTGAAGTTTGCTAGAGTGCATTTGGATGATCCAGAAGAGGATTGGGAGAATGTCATATGGTCAGATGAAACCAAAATATGACTTTTTGGTAAAAACTCAACTCGTCGTGTTTGGAGGACAAAGAATGCTGAGTTGCATCCAAAGAACACCATACCTACTGTGAAGCATGGGGGTGGAAACATCATGCTTTGGGGCTGTTTTTCTGCAAAGGGACCAGGACGACTGATCCGTGTAAAGGAAAGAATGAATGGGGCCATGTATCGTGAGATTTTGAGTGAAAACCTCCTTCCATCAGCAAGGGCATTGAAGATGAAACGTGGCTGGGTCTTTCAGCATGACAATCATCCCAAACACACCGCCCGGGCAACGAAGGAGTGGCTTCGTAAGAAGCATTTCAAGGTCCTGGAGTGGCCTAGCCAGTCTCCAGATCTCAACCCCATAGAAAATCTTTGGAGGGAGTTGAAAGTCCGTGTTGCCCAGCGACCAGCCCCAAAACATCACTGCTCTAGAGGAGATCTGCATGGAGGAATGGGCCAAAATACCAGCAACAGTGTGTGAAAACCTTGTGAAGACTTACAGAAAAACATTTGACCTGTGTCATTGCCAACAAAGGGTATATAACAAAGTATTGAGAAACTTTGTTTTTTGACCAAATACTTATTTTCCACCATCATTTGCAAATTTAAAATTTATTACAAATCCTACAATGTGATTTTCTGGAATATTTTTTTCTCATTTGTCTGTCATAGTTGACGTGTACCTATGATGAAAATCACAGGCCTCTCTCATCTTTTTAAGTGGGAGAACTTGCAAAATTGGTGGTGGACTACTAAATACTTTTTTTCCCCACTGTAGAACCAATTTTGGTTCAGTAAAGAAGAACCCCTTGGGTTCTGATCAAAGAACCCTACAAAAAGGGTTCTATATAGAACCTATAGGGGTGCCATGTATGAAGCAAGCAATAGAACCCTTTTTAGTTCTATCCAGAACCTTTTTTTCTAAGATTGTGGTTGTGGTCAGAGTCTAAACTACAGTTGTTGCGTGTGAAAACTGAACAAAGTGCGATGAGAAGTTATTGGGTGAAATATGAAGCGAGTGAACGGAGACAGCTTCGCTCTATCCAATCAGAGCAACAGGATCAACATACAGCCTGCCCTTCTCTTTAGAGACAGGCAAACCAGCCAGTTTAGTTATTTAGAGCACGGAGCACAATCCTGAGAAGGAGGACGAAGCTAGCGAGGCACGTGTTGCTAAAGCCAGTGTGAGAAACATGCTAACAAAAGTTTGTGCTTTGAAACTAAATAAATACTGCACTCTGACCCACAACTTCTTTGACAGATTCATGATAGTGTTGTTAGACAAAGCAAGGAAAGTCAACTTCAAAATGTGATTTAGTTGTATTGGAATTTGCTGCTGTTGTTGGTAAGTAATGAATCTGTTAGCTTCTGACATGAATTACTGCATCTATAATGAAAGCAGTTGATGGGTTACTAAAACAGCTCAATCTATTAATTTGAAGAAGCTATTCCTAATCCGTTTTCAGATTTGAAATGCAGAGAAGTAGAGGATGATTTCATACACTAACTTTTTGTCTAAGTTGTTGGCAAAGTAGTCAAAGTAGCAGATTTGTGTCAAAGGTTCCATTGTTACATTTACAGTGAATGGAATGTTGGAAGTGATGATGTCACAATGAGGAGATTTAGAAAGTTGAAAAAAGTCCCACGAAAATGAACGAAGATGGTCTACTTCGTTCACTTTCGAAGATGGTCTACTTCGTTCACTTTCGAAGATGGTCTACTTCGTTCACTTTCGAAGATGGTCTACTTCGTTCACTTTCGAAGATGGTCTACTTCGTTCACTTTCGAAGATGGTCTACTTCGTTCACTTTCGTGGGACTTTTTTCAACTTTCTAAATCTCATTGTGACATCATCAAGTATAAAAAGTTGAATACGAGCAACTCTACCCAGACCAGTCTACACGTTTTAAGTTTGAATGGCATTTCTAGCTTAAATGGTGTAAAAGGAGTTGAGTGCTAAAGAATAATAAGAATAATACGTATGTCGAAGATTTAAGTGGGGGCTTTTGCTTCGCAAACCCCACAACATGGGCAAATATTGATACGACAAATACACATTACCAAGAAATAATGGCAAACTTTTGCAATCATGTGTCATCATGTAACTCTCGTACTGAACATATTTTCCTAGTAACACGTGCACTTTAACAGGTGGCCTCAACTGGTGTGACCTGGAAAGACTTGCCCCGAAAGGAGTGAGATGGAGGACGTTTGTCAATGGCCTATGCTGCTAATAGGAGACTAGGGTTTAAGTCGAGTAAGTCATGCACTTTAGCTAGTCATGCTCTGGACCATCTGTAACTGCTGCACTACCAGTATATAAGGACAGTCTGTATCATTCCTCATTAACAGATCAGACAGAGGTTTAGATACTGAAATGTATTAGGAAAACATTTATCCATATTGCATACACTTTGCATTTTAAACAGCGGTTCCACACAAACACATTTATACTGTACAGCCTGGCTCAGTACATGCCCCTCCTTGAACAAACATCTGTTGTACTCAGTATATCAACTTCACACACACACACACTATAATGTCACTGGGCGTGCCAGGTTAGATCTCACACACCATGGCTGCCTGCTAAACCAAATACACTGGCACCAGAGATCAGCTGCATCTGGAATTCTCCTTTGAATGAATTCTCAATTTCAAGTCTGTACTGTAGCATCTTCTAGGCTGCTGAGACATAGACCTGGCTAGCCAGGATGCTAGCTAGTCTCCTCCAGCTTTGGGCGAGCTGATCTTGTTCCTCAGTGGCTGGACCCGAACCCCTGTGTGTCGGCCAGGCTGTCTGACTCCACCTCGATAGAGACCACGTGGTGACCGGGAATCATGGCTAACCCCAGCACTCTGGGCTCACCCTGGGAGAAGGAGTCTGATGCAGAACAAGTAAGACACACACAAAATACATTTTAAAAATGAACATGTACACAGTACACAGTGTATTAACGGCCATGTTACACTGTTACAAAGCAGAATATGCATATCATGTGGGGAAGCTAGAGTAGTGTTCACTCCCGGTCCCGGAGAGCTATAAGGTTTTTACAGCAAATAAACTAAACAATACATTCACTAGCTGAATCGGGTTTGTTAGTGCTGGGTTTGGACAAAACCCTGCACCCACTGCTCTGCAGGAACTGGGGTGAGGAACAGTGAGCTTACTAGAGTATGTGGGCTGGGCCTAATATGTACTTTAGTTACCTGAGGATTTGAGGAACTCCTGAGCGGACCCCAGGATGACGTTGCAGTCTCTGTCTGTGCACAGGAACAGTCCCACCAGTGTCCGTCCATCAGTCATTCTGATTCTCATGTTTTTGTTCAGCAGGCTCTCCAGCTTTTGACGCGCTCTGGAGGAGTAAGATGACAGTTCCCCCTGCCCCTAGAAATTACATGATAGGACTATAATTGTAAAGGAAGCATAATGGTGATACTGGGTGCATCTCAACCGTCTAAAGTGGCTTGCTCTCTTTGTAGCCTATGCTTGTCAAACTTCCCCTTGGCAAGGTTGACAAGGAGACACGACTTTCGAACACTTTATTTACCTAGCTCTGGTCCATGCGCATGCATCGGATGTGCACGCATATCGTAGTGACGCATGCGCTTGGACCAGAGCTAGTTTGATGGTAAATATAATGCTCAAAAGTAGCTTATTTGTCTTTTGGAGAGACGACGACTTGTGCATACAGAGAAAAGTTTGTCAGCACTATAGCAACACCTTTACTTTGGTAACGAAAGTATATTGAAGCCAGTCAATAGACAAAATCAGAGAAATCCTCTAAAGGAAATGGAAAGATGCCAGGGCGTTGAAGAAGGCGCATTTACCTGTACATATGAATAATGGCCGTTAAGGCTAGATTAGAGCTAAGGTCGGAGAGGAAGCTACTTTAGACTATTGAACTGCACCCTCTAAGAAATGCAAAAGCATTCCATTCGTTTATTTTAACAGATGTTTCTGGTCGTACTATTCGTGGTAATGGTACTGTAGCTTGTAGACAGAGACAAATAATGCTAGCTGGCTACGTTAACCCTTGATCATGACTCTCAGTTCCATTACACATAAGGCGTCTTCTGTATGGGGGAGTTTTGTTAAGAGCCCCGACACTCGGTCTGAACATTAACACGCATCGCTTGCGGTACGGTTTTGGAAGCATAAGGACTTTATGTTTCAGATCAGCAAAAATAAAGTTACATTGATACACACCTTTTTAGGGTTCCCAGACGGCCATACAGCCATGTTACAGCAGGTGTTTACAGAAGACAGAGGGACCACCTGCGTTAATTAGCTATCTAGCATGCTCTTAACACCTGTGTGTAATGTTAGAAGGCCGCCAGAAATGTATTGTCACTGAAAAATACTGTTGGCTGCAACTGTGATAAAGCCGGTTAAAACAGTGTACAGCACAGGAGGATGTTGCGCTTTAATTGGGGAGGACGGGCTCGTGGTAATGGCTGGAGTGGAATTAGTGGAATAGTATCAACTACATCAAACATAGTTTTTATGTGTTTGATGCCATTCCATTTACTCCGTTCGGGACATTATTATGAGCCGTCCTCCCCGCAGCAACCTCCTGTGGTGTACAGTAATAGTATATTTTGCATTTGTGAAATTATTTTGATGTGATATGAAAGTAAAGGGCTTTATGTTTCTAGAACCGTATCGCAATTGAGAATCGATTGACGTTTAGATGGAGTATTTGTCTATTTTGGCTGCCAGAGCCAGTCTATCTCTGAAAAAAAACATACGGACCTTAAGGAGTAATGTTAACGGTAGGCTCCTTAAGAGTACATCTTGGGCTAGTTTTAGCTTAGCTAGCTAATGGATCCAACTTGCCCACGAAATGTATGGATCAGCTATGCACGCTCTCCTTTCAGTTTGGCAAAGTGAATACTATGTATTATAAGTGTGTAAAATACGACAATATTAAATGTATATCACCCCTACATGAGTTGATGGACCATTTTCTTCAATCATTGTTGCCATTCCACCCTTTCTTGATCGTATTTTTCTTGCGGAATTATTTCACTGACGTACAGCCGGAAATTTGTTAGGGAATACGATGCATTGTGGGTATCGTAGTATGCAATGTAGGTAGGTAAAGCCAGAGGTTTGGTAAAACTTTGCACCTATTTGGTTTTGGAACATTTAATGGAGCATTCAATTAATAGAGATCCTATTAAATTGGTAAGTATTGTAATCCCTAATTCTATAATAAAATTGGTCAAATGTGTGTCTTATGATTTATGGACTGTGCAACGCTCGTGAGATGCAGCAAAGCTGATTTCAGTGTCGCGCTGTCTTTACCAGACGCTTCCGTTCCGTGGTTACCACAGTAACGGAGCTCAAGCTGTTCGTGTGTACACTTGTTGATACAATAGCGAGTTAGCTTGCACATAAACAAGATAAGTTACTTTTTATATCTCTGACATATGCTCAGTTGTTACATTTTACATTACCTTTTATAGCTCTACATACATTTGGTAAAGTTGCGGAATTAATACAAATGCGGCCACCAAAGTATTTCACTCCAAACGAGGTGTCCCTTCATAACACCCTTGGCGACTTGTGGGTGTCATACCTGGGCAAGGTGTACGACTTGACACCGTTGGTGAATGAATTTAAAGGTAAGTTGTCGAATGTAAATAGGCTATTAGGTTATAATAGTTTACTAAATGACACAACTGTTTTTCAGGGGATGTACTTCTGAAACCTATCATTGAGTGTGCAGGAAAGGACATCAGTCACTGGTTTGACCCAAAGACAAAAGATGTGAGTGAGAAAATAATCAGACGTCTATCAAGAATGTAGCATATTTGTCTTTCTTTTTCATTATATTGATGATGAGTAGGCTAATTCCCCATTTGTATTTTCAGATTCTGACCCACATCGACCCACTATCTGGCTGTATGAAATACTACACCCCTAGGGGGCGCTTTGTGCACGTGCCGCCTCCCTGCCCTCGTACTGACTGGACCAATGACTTTGGGCGACCCTGGTGGAGGGATACGCAATATGAGGTGGGACTACTTTCTGTCAAGACCAGGTGGATCCGCATCATCAACACCCTCACATCCCAGGAGCAGGGTCTGGAGGTAAGTCATCCTTATTCTGATCAGGGAGAATGTCATGCATAGATCATGAGGCTACATGTGTACATGACACATGTATACATGTGTTATCATACTACATTTACATTTTACATTTTAGTCATTTAGCAGACGCTCTTATCCAGAGCGACTTACAGGAGCAATTAGGGTTAAGTGCCTTGCTCAAGGGCACATCGACAGATTTTTCACCTAGTCGGCTCGGGGATTAGAACCAGCAACCTTTCGGTTACCGGCACAACGCTCTTAACCGCTAAGCTACCTGCCGCCCGACTACTAATACTAATCTCACATAGCCAGACACCATCCCCTGGCAAGCGAGGCTAGTGCCATACATAGGTATCATAAATGCTGAATTCATGTATTATACATATGCTATAGATATGCACACAACATACTGACATCATTCTGCACACATACATGTCACTTTCATGCATACATGCACCATTTATACATAACCATCATGCATACTATTGTAGCTGTTCAAGCCTTATCCTCCTACCTCTCCCTCAACTGCCTTATCAGCAAAGCATTTTCAGCGTATCACAGTAGCAGTCTATTAGGAGTGTGTCCATTCAGCTGGCACTGTTTCACACACACAGTGTAATATCACTGTCTGGAGCACAGGTGCTGTGTCTCCCTTACTCTGTGTGTCACTGGCTACATAAAATATGGGTTACCACACAGCACTCTAGGGAGCCCTGGCCTGTATGTGACTAGCTTCCAAAGGGACACTGTGGGGGGGAGTGAGTAGAACGGTAGTGCAGCGTGTCACTGTCAAGCCCTGGGGGGGTTTGTGAGCGAGTCCTGGCTTGGTTGGCTCATTCCCCCCGCAGCCCTCACACACACACACTCACACACACAACACAACACAACACAACACAACACACTCACACCCACAGCAGAGCACGCCTCTCCTCTCCAGCGTGGTGGGAGAGCAGGCTTTCCCGCCAACACGCCCCAGCTGGCACTAGTAGTCTTCTACTGGGCCAGAAGCTTAGTGTGGGTGCTCCACTGGCCACTCACACAGTCAGACACATGCTCTCTCTCTCTGATACAGTCACACACACTCAGGCACACGCCACACACAAATTCTCTATTTCCTTCTCTCACACACTGTCTCTCACATACATACTCACGCTATATTTCTCTACCTCACACTCAATCTCTCCTCCTTTCTCTTTCTCCCTGCCTTCTCACTCCTGCTCACTTTCTCTCTAGTGGTTCTTGGCAAGTGTGCCCATTGGACCCAGCATAAACAAATTATTTTCTTATTTTTTTGTTGGCTCCTGGAAGCCAAGCTAGAGTGGTTTAACCACCTGTTGCAAAACAGAATGAGTTTCATGGGAAGAAACAATGGAAAATATAGTTTTTTTTTAAATGGAAAAATACTCAAATCTTCTTACTATTAAAATACAATGGCTGATGACAATGACTGATCATACCATATCATACCTATAGATCTAAAACTGCTGCAACAGATTTCAGCTGCAGAAGTCGGGAACTACTGTACATGTGTTGGAAAAGTAAAAGAAGAAAAAACAGCAACTCCTCCCTCCTCTCTCTCTCCTTCCCCAGGTGTGTTCCGAGGAGAACTTGAATGAGATTCTCCAGCGGTACCTCCACTACAACTCTCACGCCGCCAGCTACACCTGGAAGCACAACTGTGTCAACCTGGACATGAGCAAAACGCTGGAGGAGAACGGCATCCCCGACGAGGACGAGGACTTCTACAACAGACGCATGGACCGCGACCTCTTCTCCCAGTCCATCTGCCTATACTTCAACGACGACCTCACTGAACTTTGACCCCATATGTAAGGATGTCAGAAAATGGTGGTGAGCAATATGAGCAGACAATCTATTAAAATGTTGACTCACAAAATACATTTCCTGTATGTGTTATTTGTTTGTGTTATGATATTGTTGTAGCAATTTTATTATAGCCAATTTAACCCAAAAAGGACTTGAACTGGTAACCTCACAATTAATCTGTTCCTTTCCTTGTCATTCTATCCCAGTGTCATCCTTTTGTCATTCCGTCAAAGCATCTTGCATCTTTACAATAGGCCTATTTAAATTAATAAATTAACAATAGTCTGCCAACATTTTACATAAAATGGCATGGTAACCATGGTAATTGTTTATGTGATATTCAACAGCTCCTTTGTGGCTCTGCTGGGTTAAGATGTCCTGTTGTACAGGATGTGCAGGAAACCAAATCTACTATAACAGTAGCAATATCAGGTTTAGTCAGTCTGATATATAATATAATGTTACCCTTATTTCTATTAATCAGTGACATGTAATTGTTATCAATATCTAGGCTACTTATCATTATTCACAACTATACACACATTCTTACTGTAAAATGTGCATACTGTATGCATGTCTGACCATAGACCCCTTTGTCAAAGCTGAGCTGCCTGAAGGGAGACCAACCATTGTCTGACTACTAGAGGTTCCCATGGCCTTACTGCCACCCATATCAAAAGGACTCTAGTGAAAGTGTGCAAGATTCTTTTAAAATGTATCCTCTTTCATTTTAATGCTTTCAGAATGTTGAAAATAATATATTCGATTTCTATTCTTAATATCAAATAATCTCCAGTTGAAAAAAATGCCAGTTTGCATATTGCATTGATTTTTATCCCTACCACAAGTGGTTAATTTTTAAGCAATCCAATCTGATGTAAATCTGGGCATGGCTGCGGCAGATTTTCCCAACCCCCCCACTCTCAAACTACCTCCCCGACTCTCTCTCTCTCTCTCTCACACACACACACACACACACACACACGTTTCATTTTATAACATGGTGGGGGCCTTTAAGAATATTAATGTGGCCATATTTGATAGATTTGTATTGCGTTCTGCAGTGTAGAAAGGGAGAGTTTTGTTGCGTGTGAGCTTGAGACAGTTAGCTGGCATGTCTGATCATGGGCGGGGGAGGGGGGGCAGTAACATTACAAGCAGTCAAATACCCCCTTTCTTGTAACAATGTGAATGGTTTTTGAGGAGGGAGGGGTGCGCGGAGAGAGGCAGAGAGACAGGAGAGAGAGAAAGGAGGAGGGGGGGGGGGCGTTCTGCAATAATATAGTCAGCCATTTTTTATGTAAGGGGATTTTTCTTATTGGGGGGGTTGTTAAAAAATAAATATAAGAGCGGCCATCTTTGTTTCCCTGCCTTGTAGTGTAAAATATTCCAAAACGGCCCCCACTTTTTTCTGGTGTCGATTTGAATATTAAATAAATATCATAATTCCAGAGGATTTCTGATTTCGAGGACGGAGCCGATGACAGGAATATAATGTCCTCTCCTCTCCGGTCCTGTGAGGAAGACCAGGGCATGTTGGTTAATTCCAAGGGAGGAGATTTTGATGAAGAAGACGAGGACCACGGAGATCTAGACGAGAACGCAAGCGACATAAACTCGCCGGCGGCGCCTCGAGAAACTGCAACACTAGCCGCGCCAGGTAGGCTATAGTAGGCTACAGTAGGCTAAAGTAGACAGACACTGGCGAAAGACTCGGGAGCGCGCACACAAAATAGAAACACATACGCCACATTTGGAAAAAAGTACGCCAGGACACCCTGTGCCACTCATCTCAATAGTTATCTGTTCCTGCAATATAATTATTTGCGCCCCCGTTACTCCAAGGGAAAGCGCAGCTTTGAAATAGAAAGAGTTGAAGATTCAAACTTCTAGACCAACTTGAGACCGCTCTTTTCGTTTTTATCCCATATACAATTTCACAAAGTTGATCCTCCTCGACGTTGCTTTTCATCCTGACAATGCTGCCATATTCATAGTAAATAATATCTCAATATTAATAGGTCGATGTGAAGTGTACAGCTCACGACATCACTGGCAGAAAACATGGACTCCCCAGCAATAAGCTTTCTGATAGTGGTCTTTAGAATAGTGCTGTGATGTCTGTTCCCGAGGCGTGAGCGTTAAAACCGGATGATGGAGTGAGTGCTGGATGATGGAGTGTAAATAAACTTGCCCCTACCCCATGACGGTCTCCACTGTCATACTGACAGGGACGGTTCATGATAGGACACTGACACTCTACTCCAAGTTCTGAATAGAACCGTTATGTGTCGCCTACAGGGCTTTTGTTCCTACTCTCTTTTCGATGTCATAGCAGACTAACACATGTAACACGTAGGCCTATAATAAACAATGACTAGAAAATATACTGTAAAGCCTCAAAATAAAGGACTTGCCTACAATGTCATGTGCAAAACACTATCAACAGACATCTTATTTTTCTCCTAAATTTATTTTTGAGGGACTTCAGATTAGGGCTACCTGGTTCCTGCACACCAAAGAAAATGTTTACATTATTTTACAGTTCAATTTAATTAATACAATTAAATTAATTGGTATGTATTAAATAGTGACATCAGATATTGCATGTCATGATTTTGGGATATTCAACAAGGGCTCTTTTAGCATCAGTGTGAACTAGTAGGCTAAACTATGTCGTCTGTCTCGAGACAAAGCGCGCGCCGCGTATCAATTAGTGCGCTTCCTGCAGCGGCTCTAAACCCCCTGCGACCTGCGCCAGCGGTTGTTGCTGTTGTTGCTGTTGTGTTCGGGACCGAGGTGTGGGAATTAATTGCGGGGAAGTAGGGTAGGGAGTCGTTTCAGTTAATCCGATTGAGACAAACTAGCTTGCGGCCTCAGAATCACCGAGCCCCGAGTGAGTGCTAATGCCGCCCCTGGCTGCACTGTGCAGCAGAAATATGCGGAGACCTTGTCTGGGCACGCGCTGCGTGTTGTAGCTCTACCAACAAAGACATACCATAAAATCGAACTAATTTCTACCAAGTGCAATGGCGGCCGCAAGCGATAGATTTTTTGTGATGTTTTTTCCCCTTCTCTTCATCCCCCTGACAAAGCATAGGCTTCTCTCTCTCTCACTCTCCAATAGGGTGCTGTCTCACTTTTTGCCCGGGGAAAAACTTGAATAAAGGGATGAATGGCTCATTATCACTCAGTGATCCTCAAAACGTGGGATGTTGTGGCTTCTAAATAAATCTATTACATGTTTGATTGGATTTTATTTTCCCAATTCATTATTGCGGGAAAAACATATTGCCATGGACATAACGTTTTAGAAGCCCTAAAGCACTGTGCAACATGTAGCCTACATAAGACCTTACTTTCATATGTCTCAGCCTCACATTTTCAATGCCACCATGAACAACATTATTGTGTGTTATGAAGCATTCATTAACATATGTCCATAAGTCAGTTATGGATTTGGTTTTCACTCAACTGATACCAATCAGCTGTCAATTCCACTTATCAGTCAAACACACTGACTGGAACTAATTCAGCTTGTCACAATTCAGTCAAGCTTGATGGTCGTGTTAAGACACTATACTCTCACTTATGACACGTGGTGTCAACTCACACATGACAGCGTGTTGGTGAGAGGCTTTTGTTGTGCTTAATTGTGTTCAGAAGAGATTAGATCGATGATTCAAAGCCTTCAAAGATGATTATAGTCAATATGATTTAATCACATCTCTCTCTTTCTCTCTTTCATCCCCCTCTCCTCTCATCAATCCCCAGTGGAGGAAGAAAGGGAAGCATCAGACAGGGACAGTCTAGGTAGGAAGAAACGAGGTCCCAAGAAGAAGAAGGAGACAAAGAAGAAGGAGAAAGAGAAAGAAGGAAAACCAGTTAAAGCCAGAAAACGGAAAAAGATTGTAAGCTTCTCGATCATTACGGTTTAACTCCATCTACCGCCATACATTCTGATGACACTTCATTCTATTTCATTTGCTTAATTGAAGCCTTTTTTTAATATATCTGTGACATTACATATTGATTTAGCATCCTCACCCTCTCTTTTCTGTTCTCTCTCTTTCTCTTTCTCACGTTCCCTCTCTCCCCTTCTTTTCTCCTCTCCCCCTCTCAGGAAAGTGATGTAGAGAGAGACTCGGAGCGAGAGAGAGATTATGGCGAGAACTCAGACAGCGCAGCCAGTGACTTCACTGGCGAGAAAAAGAAGAAGAAGAAACACAAGGAGAAGAAGGAGAAGAAAACCAAAAAGAAGAAAAAAGACGATGGGGACAGCACGCACGAGGAGACAACAAAGGTAAGAAGAACACAACAATAAAGTGCTATTGTTTTTTTTTTTTTTTTTTTACACATTCTGATGGCTCAAGTCTTCCAGCTCTCTGATTGGTTGTTTCTCTCCTGCAGCCAATAGAACAGAAGACGTCGGCCCAGCTGGCTAAGGACTGGGGTCTGGAGGATGTGGATCATACATTCACTGAAGATGATTACCGCACACTCACCAACTACAAAGCCTTCAGCCAGTCCATGAGGTACAGTTGGCCTGCTGTAGAGATTGAGGCAGCTGAGCTTTTGTCAAAGTGTTGACTGTCAGCGAGATGACTCAATGAGTTATTGTTTATTTCAGTTTTGTAGTTCACTACCAACCGTGGAACAATTCCCTCAATTCACAATCCCTCAGAAACAAAAATTTATAGTTCAAGTTTATTTTCAAGTTCAAGATTATTTGCCACACGGTTCAAAATCAACTGTCATTACTGTTCTGTACATCAAACACTCAGCTCTTCTTCCTCTCCCCTCTTCCTCTTCCTCACCTTCCTCTTCGTCTACCCAGGCCCATGATAGCCAAGAAGAACCCTAAGATCCCCATGTCTAAAATGATGACCATCCTGGGGGTCAAGTGGAGGGAGTTCAGCTCCAACAACCCCTTCAAGGGCTCCGGTGCTGCAGCTGTGGCAGCTGCAGCAGCCGCCGCCGCCATCGCCGTCGCCGAGCAGGTCTCCGCGGCAACCCCATCCCCGGAGCCACCTCCCCCCCGGAAGCAGCCCCAACCCCCACGGCCGCCCCCCCAGCCGCCACCCCCGCCTCCCCCGCTCCGCAAGGCCAAGACCAAAGAGGGCAAAGGTCAGAGGATGAGAGAGAAGGGTGGAGTGGTGAAGTGGTTGAGGGTAGCATGTGTAGCAAGGACTGATTGAATTTAAATGGAATTGGTCACAAATTGTAGTCTGGACCCTCAGACGTTTCACATTTTTGTTGTAGCCCTGAACTGGCACACCTGATGCAATTCGTCAATAATATAATAATAATAATAATAATATGCCATTTAGCAGACGCTTTTATCCAAAGCGACTTACAGTCATGCGTGCATACATTTTTGTGTATGGGTGGTCCCGGGGATCGAACCCACTACCTCAAGGGTTTGATGATAGTCGACTAATTTAATCTTGTGTGCCAGTTTAGGGCTACAACAAATATGTGAAACGTCTGAGGACCCCGAGGAGAGGTTTGTGAAACCCTGCGCTAGAGCACTAGTACAATTCTTGACTTCACTCTGTCCCTATTTCTCAGGCCCTGGGTATAAGAAGAGTCGCAGTAAGAGTCCACGTGTTCTGGCTGAGAGGAAGAAGGCGGTGGCAGCAGCAGTAGCGGCTTCAGTAGCTAAAGCCAAGAAGATGGCCCCCATACGCATCAAACTGGGGGCCCTAGGCAACAAGAGGAAGAAGAGCAGCTCTGTAAGTATTAATATGCTGTGTATTTGGATCTATAGATGTGCTGTGTAGGCCAATGTATGTAGGAGCATGCTGGTGTATGAGTCGACAGATCTGTGTTTCTCTCCTCTCCCTCTCTCTCTCTCTCGCTCTCTCTCTCTCTCTCAATTCAATTGAATTTAAAGGCTTTATTGGGATGGGAAACATATGTTTACATTGCCAAAGCAAGTGAAATAGTTAAACTAAAGTAAAATAAACAATAAAAAGAGTAACAGTAAACATTATACTCACAAAAGTTCCAAAATAATAAAGACATTTCAAATGTCATATTATGTGCAAATAGTTAAAGTACAAAAGAGAAAATAAATAAACATAAATATGGGTTGTATTTACAATGGTGTTTGTTCTTCACTGGTTGCCCTTTTCTTGTGGCAACTGATCACAAATCTTGCTGCTGTGATGGCACGCTGTGGTATTTCACCCAATAGATATGGGAGTTTATCCAAATTGGATTTGTTTTCGAATTCTTTGTGGGTCTGTGTAATCTGAGGGAAATATGTGTCTCTAATATGGTCATACATTTGGCAGGAAGTTAGAAAGTGCAACTCAGTTTCCACCTCATTTTGTGGGCAGTGTGCACATAGCCTGTCTTCTCTTAAGAGCCAATAGCAAGGCTATGCTCACAAAGTCTGTACATAGTCAAAGCTTTCCTGAAGTTTGGGTCAGTCACAGTGTTCAGGTATTCTGGCACTGTGTACTCTCTGTTTAGGGCCAAATAGCATTCTATACGAATAGCAAACAATACGAAATACTAACTCTGACTGGAAAAACACAATGACACAGGGAGAACATTTCTCGAGTACCTGTAACTCCGTCACGTGATCCGACACTGATACATTCTACTTGACATCAAGGAACTAGCAGAGAAAAATGAGCAAGGGGACACAGGGAAGGGAGGGCATAAATACACAGGTGAATCAGATAGCCACAGGTGACACCAATAGGCAGATAATTAGTCCCGACTGTGAGTGAGGAGGTGCCTAAGGTTGTCGGAGGATGACACCTAGTGAGTTACTCTGGAACTCCCCCCCCCCCCCCCCCCCGACGAACGGCTGCAGCCGTTCACCTCGGAGCCTCCGGATGGAGGCGACGGAATGCTGTATCAGCCCTGGGTCCAGAATGTCCCACCTGGGCACCCCGGACCGCTCCACCGGCCCATAACCTTCCCAGTCCACCAGAAATAGGAGACCCCTCCCCACCCACCGGCAGTCCAGGATCCGGTCCACTGTAAAAGCCGGCTGCCCTCCGACGAGGTGCAGCGGGGGAACAGGACGAGGAGGGGGAGACAAGGGACAGGTGGTGATGGGCTTGAGGAGGGACACATGGAATGTGGGATGGACCCGCGTGGTGGGGGGAAGTTGCAGGCCGTAGGTCACTGGGTTGACTCGCCGGACCACTCTGAATGGCCCGACGGGACCGCCGCCTCCTTCTCTTGCTCACGGAATAGGGGCGCTTGGGAATGGCAGGGGTCGGAGCAGCCCTGCCGCGGGCTGACGTGAGCTCTTCGTGCATGCGCACACCGGGCAAGCAGCTACGAAGGCGCGCGTACCCCCCTCAGCAGATGGCCACCAGAACCTCCTACGCAAGAACTCCAACGTCCTGGCGCCCCTCGGATGACTGGTGAGGTCGGACACGTGCGCCCACTGAAGCAGTCGCGAGCGCGCAGCCTTGAGTACGTTCATCCTACCCGATGGACCTCTGCCTGGATCGGGCTCCCGCTGTAGCGCTGCTCTGACCAGCCTATCAATTCCCCACAAAACTGGGGCAGCCATCCGGAAACTGATGTCTTTCCTTGTCTCCGGCTGGGACAAGGAAAGCCATCGCCTTCGTGTGGGCATGGCGCCCGGCAGGAGATCGATAGCGCAGTCATCAGGCCTGTGAGGAGGTAGGCCCTTGGCACACCTCTTACTAAAGCCCTCCCCCAGATCCCAATACTCCTGCTGAAGAGGTGAGGGCTGGTAGGTGGTCTGGGATGGTGGTTTGGGCTAATGAGTGGTCAGTGGCGACCGGAACAGGACGGGGGCGGAGCCTCCCTCCAGGATGAGCCGCCCCGTGGACCAGTCTATCCAGGGGTTGTGGGGGACCAGCCAGGGGTCCCCAAGGATGAGGGCACACTTCGGAGAGTCCACAATGAAAAACTGGATATACTCCCATAGCCCCCCCGCCACCCGGACACGCACGGGGACAGTGCGCCGGGTGATGAAGCCCGACACCAATGGCCGGCCGTCCAGGCCCATGACCGGAACCGGCTCAGAGAGAGAGAGTAACGGAATGCTCCACCCTTGGGCCAGCCCCGCGTCCATCAGGTTTCCCGCGGCCCCAGAATCCACCAGTGCATGTGCCCAACGCGCAGCGTGTGCCCACTGAATCCTGACGTGGAGAAAAGTGTCTCTGGAGTTGGAGTTTCGGTTCCGGCCTGCTAGCACCCCTCCCGATACCAGCGAGCCCTCCCGTTTTCCCGGCTTCTCCGCAGTACCGGCAACGTCCCTGGGGCAGACGCCTCTGCCTCGCCATCCGGGACAAGCGCGCCGCACCCAGCTGCATAGCCTCCTCCTGAGGTGTCTCCGGGCTGATAGGGAGACGGGGAGGCAAGCTTTGCGTCATGCCTCTGTCGTACGCCCTCTCACGACGCTGATTGTCCACCTGCACAGAGAGGTCAACGAGGCCGTCCAGTTGCTCAGGCAGCTCTCTGAAGAAGAGTTTGTCCTTCATTTTCTCTGATAGCCCCTGCGCGTACAGGACGACCAGGGCGGCCTCCTCCCATCCTGCCTCTCGAGCCCGGTTCCGGAACTCCACGGAGTAGTCTGCCACCGAACGGTCACCCTGCCGACAAGCCGTGAGCCGCCTCCCGGCCTCGTGCCCCGACAGCACCCGAGAGATGTCGAACACCTTGCGGAACTCCCGGGTGAATTGGTAGGAGTTCCGGGAAAGGGCCCTACCAGTCAACTGAGTGATAATGTAGGCAACCCGGCCCTGCTCCGTCGGGAAGGAGGAGTGTTGTAGGCTGAACACCAGGGAACACTGGGTGAGGAATTCCCTGCAGCCCCCTGGACGTCTGTCGCACCTCTACGGAGGTTCCCGCGATGTCGCAGGCAAGACTGGAGACGCGGCTTCCGCTCCACCGGCTTCCGGGACTGGTCGGGTGTCCACCCGGCTCTGCACGGAGATCGTCAGCTGGCGGAGATTCTCAATGATATGCTGCAGGCTGCGGTCGTGCTGATCATGGCTCCCTGCGCTGCCAATGCGCTATGATACTGTGCTGCCTCCATATTGGCTCAGTTTTCTGTAAGGGTTGGTGTGAGGTGTGACCCAGGTGTGGTGCAGGATAGACAGTAGGCAGTAGGCAGAGATGGTGAAACAAGGATCTTTACTGGTGGTCCAAAAACCAGGATACAAAACAACGGACTATACACGAAAACAAATGAGGAGCACATAGGTCCCCAAAAAACAGGCTGACAGCAAACAATACAAAATACTAACTCTGACTGGAAAAACACAATGACACAGGGAGAACACTTCTCGAGTACCATGCACTGCATGCATTATTTGGTATTTGACGTTGTACACAGAGGATATTTTTTGCAGAATTCTGCATGCAGAGTCTCTCTCTCTCTCTCTCTCTCTCTCTCTCTCTCTCTCTCTCTCTCTCTCAATTCAATTCAATTTCAATGTAAACATTACACTCAGAAGTTCCAAAAGAATAAAAACATTTCAAATGTAATATTATGTCTATATACAGTGTTGTAACCATGTGCAAATAGTTCAAGTACAAATGGGAAAATAAATATGGGTTGTATCTACAATGGTGTTCTTCACTGGTTTGCCCTTTTCTTGTGTATATATCTAACTCCCTCCCTTCCTCTCAGAGTGGAGATGATGTTGATGAGGAGGACTCGGAGCAGGAGGACTCCAGTGTCCACAGCTCCTCGGTCCGCTCCGACAGCTCCCCACGGGTCAAGAAGAACAAGAGAGGACGTCCAGCCAAGAAGAAGAAGAAAAGTAAACAAAATGTTCCTTAAAAAAAGGGTATAAACTCTGAATCGGTCTGACTTATGCTCAACATGTGATGTCCCTCTGTCTTTTCTCCTTCTCCCTCTCTGCCACCTCTCTCTCTTATCCCCCCTCCCTTTTTCCCTCCTCATTTCCCCTCCCTAATTTATTTATCCATCATCCATCTCCATCTCTCTCTCTCTCTCTCTCTCTCTCTCTCTCTCTCTCTCTCTCTCTCTCTCTCTCTCTCCTCTCTCTCTCCTCTCTCTCTCTCTCCTCCTCTCTCTCTCTCGCTCTCTGTCTGTCTGTCTGTCTGTCCGTCTGTCTGTCGTCTGTCTGTCTGTCTGTTGTCTGTCTGTCTCTCCTCTCTCTCTCTCTCTCTCTCTTCCATCCTCCTCTCATCTCTCGATAGCTATATCTCTCTCTCTCTCTCTCTCTCTCTCTCTCTCTCTCTCTCTCTCTCTCTCTGTCTCTCTCTCTCCTTCTCTCTCTCTGTCAGTGCTGGATGAGGGTGAGGGGGAGGAGGACGGTTATGAGACAGACCACCAGGACTACTGTGAGGTGTGCCAGCAGGGAGGGGAGATCATTCTGTGTGACACCTGTCCCAGAGCCTACCACCTGGTCTGTCTGGAGCCTGAGCTGGAGAAGGCCCCCGAGGGCAAGTGGAGTTGCCCCCACTGTGTGAGTACCGTAGTCCTCAAAGTTGGTGTTAATAATCCTCAAGTCTGCTGATTGTTTATGTCAGCAGTACAGACAGAGCTGTGTGTAATGCTACTTTTTGTGTGTACTCTATTCACAGTGTGTGAGCCAATTCAGACCCCTTGACCTTTTCCACATTTTGTTACATTACAGCCTTTTTCCTTCATCAATCTACACACTATACCCCATAATTACAAAGCAAAAACAGTTTTTTAGACATTTTTGTAAATTGCAAAAAATGTAGCAACTGAAATAACACATATACATAAGTATTCAGACCCTTTACTCAGTACTTTGTTGAAGCACCTTCGGCAGCGATTACAGCCTTGATTCTTCTTGGGTATGACGCTACAAGCTTGGCACACCTGTATTTGGGGAGTTTCTCCCATTCTTCTCTGCAGATCCTCTCAAGCTCTGTCAGGTTGGATGGGGAGCGTCGCTGCACAGCTATTTTCAGGTCTCTCCAGAGATGTTCGATCGAGTTCAAGTCCGGGCTCTGACTGGGCCACTCAAGGACATTCAGAGACTTGTCTCGAAGCCACTCCTGCGTTGTCTTGGCTGTGTGCTTAAGGTCGTTGTCCTGTTGGAAGGTGTACCTTCGCCCCAGTCTGAGGTCCTGGAGCAGGTTTTCATCAAGGATCTCTCTGTACTTTGCTCCGTTCATTTCTCCCTCGATCCTGATTAGTTTCCCAGTCCCTGCCACTGAAAAACATCCCCACAGCATGATGCACCATGCTTCACCGTAGGGATGGTGCCGGGTTTCCTCCAGACGTGACGCTTGGCATTCAGGCCAAAGAGTTCAATCTTGGATTCATCAGACCAGAGAATCTTGTTTCTCATGGTCTGAGTCCTTTAGGTGCCTTTTGGCAAACCCCCAAGCATGAATGAAGCAAACATTAATTATGAATTATGAATATGAATGTTTTCGCTTTGTTATTATGGGGTAATGTGTATAGATTGATGAGGATTTATTTTGTTTAATCAATTTTAGAATAAGGCTGTAACGTAACAAAATGTGGAAAAAGTCAAGGGGTCTGAATACTTTCCGAATGCACTGTAAGGTATCATCAGACATATAAACCCTACCAATGATGATGATAATGGATAATGGATCAAATAATTGTATTTACCTATTAATTCCCCATGCAATCCTCTTCTCCTCCTCCTCTCCTCTTCTCCTCTCCTGTCCTCCTCCTCTCCTCTTCTCCTCTCCTGTCCTCCTCTTCTCCTGTCCTCTTCCTCTCCTCCTCTCCTCTCCTGCAGGAGAAAGAAGGGATCCAGTGGGAAGCGAAGGATGAGGACTTTGAGGAGTTTGAGGAGGAGAGTGAGGACATGGTGGTACCAGAGGTACCTGGGGTTGGACTGCTGGTAGGACTGGAGGAAGAGGAGGATGACCACATGGAGTTCTGCAGGGTCTGTAAGGATGGGGGGGAGCTATTATGCTGCGACACCTGTCCCTCCTCCTACCACATCCACTGCCTCAACCCGCCCCTGCCTGAGATCCCCAACGGAGAGTGGCTGTGTCCACGCTGCACCGTAAGTCTTGTTTGTTTGTTATCATTATGTGTACAATGCAAATGTCCACAATGTTTGGACAATATTTCCTATTGTATTATATTGTATTGTATTCAATCTACTCTACTTGACATTACTCTAATCTATTTGGATTCCTCATTTTCGACTTCTTCCCCCAGTGTCCTGCTATCAAGGGCAGGGTACAGAGGATCCTCCACTGGCGATGGGGCGAGCCCCCCGATCCTGTACCCGTGCCCCCCACCCCCGATACCCCTCCTGATGCTCCCCCGCCACCCCCCATGAAGGGCAGGGCTGAGAGGGAGTTCTTTGTCAAGCTGACCGGACAGTCCTACTGGCACTGTACCTGGATCACTGAACTACAGGTGAGAGAGGGAGGGAGGGAGGGAGGAGGGAGAGAGAGGAGAGAGAGAGAGAGGGAGAGAGAGAGAGAGAGAGAGAGGCTGAAAAAGAAAAAGAGGGTGAAACAGTTGGAGGAGAGGCTGATGTAATGATATGAAAAACGGCAAGACGCTTAGCATGCAAGTATCCTACACACTTCCCTTCCTTGCTTTCATTCAACAAATGTTCTCTTTCCTCCTATTCCTCTCCTCTTTTTCATCCCTCCATCCCTCTAGCTGGAGATCTTCCACTCGGTGATGTTCCGTAACTACCAGAGAAAGACAGATATGGATGAGCCTCCCAGTCTGGACTATGGGTCGGGGGGAGAGGAGGAGAGTGTTAAGAGTGAGAAGAGGAGGCTGAAAGACCCAGACTACGCTGCCCTGGATGACAAGTTCTATAAATACGGCATCAAGCCTGAATGGATGATGGTCCACCGCATCATCAACCACAGGTACGTGTGCATGTGGGGTGTGTGTGTGGGGTGGGGTTTGTGTTTGTGTGTGAGGTGGGGTTTGTGTTTGTGTGTGTGTGTGTGTGTGTGTGTGTGTGTGTGTGAGAGAGATGGGTGTGGGTGGGCGGGCGGGGTGTGTGTGTGAGGCGGGGTGTGTGTGTGTGTGTGCTAGTTTATTGATTGTTACAATATGTGTGCAGTTCAGGCCATAATGTATGTGTACGGATGTACGTGTGTGTGTGGGTTTCCCAGTATGGACAAGAAAGGGATATACCACTACCTGGTCAAGTGGAGAGACCTGACCTACGACCAGTGCACATGGGAGAGAGACGATCTGGAGATGCCAGAGTTTGTCATCCACAGGGCCAACTACTGGGCACACAGGTACTGGACTACTGTACTGGCCAACTGGCATCCATGTTGGCACCAAACACTACTACAGTGAATCTGTCTTGGTAATGTTAGTGTCAACATGGTGACCGTCAAAGTTCTACATCTCAAACCAAATTTGGCCAACCTTGTATGCTGTTGTAAATAGCTCAGGGACACTGGATTTTTGATTGGCTGATTGATAGATTGATTGATGGATTGATTGATTCAGGGATGAGGTGATGAAGGAGGCCCCAGACATGCCGAGGAGGATGAGGAGCATGAGGATGGAAGAGAGCGAAGACCCCCACAGATCACCTGTCAACGACGTGAGTTCTGATTGGCTCACTCACTCTGTAACAGCCACATCTATAGGTCGTCATTCCGGTAGCCGATCAACTCTCTCTACCAAGTCAAAACTAGTGTCATTCTGTACATGTATGTCAATTATGTTTATCTTCTTTTTCCCCGTTCATCACCATCCCTCCTTCTCTTTCCTTCTCTTCCAGCCTACGATAAAGTACGAGGAGCAGCCAGACTTTGTGACGGCGACGGGGGGCACTCTGCACCTGTACCAGCTGGAGGGGCTCAACTGGCTGCGTTTCAGCTGGGCACAGGGCACTGACACCATCCTGGCAGACGAGATGGGGCTGGGCAAGACCATCCAGACCATCGTTTTCCTCTACTCACTCTTCAAAGAGGTAGGACGGAACCGTTAGGAACTCTGTGTTCTATGTGCTATGCAAAATCCCGATTGAGTATCCTGTTGTATTTTAATAGAATAATAAAGTATTATATTCTGTTTTAATAGAATAATAAAGTATTATATTCTGTTTTAATAGAATAATAAAGTATTATTTTCTGTTTTAATAGAATAATAAAGTATTATATTCTGTTTTAATAGAATAATAAGTTATATTGTTTAATAGATAATAAGTATTTATTCGTTTTAATAGATAATAAAGTATATATTCTGTTTAATAGAATAAATCTATTATATTCTATTTGAATAGATAATAAAGTCATTATATTAGATTCTTCATCAATGCATCTTTCTTCTCCACTGTCATCTTTGTAAAAAAAAAAGAAAATCTCTCTCCTCCCCTCTTCCCCCCACCAAGGGCCACACTAGGGGCCCGTTCCTGGTGAGCGCCCCCCTCTCCACCATCATTAACTGGGAGAGAGAGTTTGAAATGTGGGCTCCTGACTTCTACGTGGTGACCTACACAGGGGACAAGGACAGCAGAGCCATCATCAGAGAGAACGAGCTGACCTTCGACGACGCGGCCGTACGGGGAGGGAAGAAAGCCTTCAAACTGAGGGTGAGGAAGGAGGGGAGGGGAGGGGAGAGGAGGGGGGAGAGAAGAGGAGAGTTCATCCCATCTTCTAAAAAAGTAAAACATTGAATATCTGCTTCTGTTTCTCTCTGTCCCTCTCCCCCTCCCATCCTCTCTATCCCCTCTCTCTCCCCTCCCTCCTCCTCTCTCTCTCCTCTCCAGAGAGAAGCCCCTATAAAGTTCCATGTCCTGTTGACCTCCTATGAGCTGGTGACGATAGACCAGACCTCCCTGAAGTCTATAGACTGGCCCTGTCTAGTGGTGGACGAGGCCCACCGCCTCAAGAACAACCAGAGCAAGGTAGGCTGCCCATGTTTGGTTTTGTGTGTGTGTTTGTGTGCGTTTGTATTGTATTTAACTTCGGCCAATCAGGTCATGTCTCTCTGTTCCTACTCCCCGCCTACAAGCAGGAACTCAAGAGGGACCCACCAACACAGAGAATAGTGAGGCGCTGGACAGAGGTGGCAGGCTCAATGCTGCAGGATTGTTTTGAGAATACTGATTGGAATATGGTCAAAGATTCATCCACCCAGGACTCATCCATCAACATTGAGGAATATACATCGTCAGTCAAAGGCTTCATTAGGAAATGTGTTGATGATGTTGTACCCACAAAAACAATCCGGACATTCCCCAACCCAATGGTGTAGTGGAGGGTATATGCAGGTATACGCCATATACCCACTTATTTTTCATTTTTCATTATACTCACTTCTTAATCCCCCCTGATAGGTATCAAAGTAGTGTAGTGGAGGTATACGCCATGTCAACTAATAGGGCTGATGGAACAGATCAGACTTTTTAGCTTAAAATGTTGATAAACTATTATTTCATCACATTTTAGGCGCAGCAGTAGGCCTACGTGTGAATGTTTCAAAATGCAATTTGCGGGAAAACACCAAGTTCTAAAATGTGCACCGCACATACAAGTGGTTTCATGAACAGAGATGTAAATATCTGTTAGAAAGAGGGGGGATTTAAAGATGCAACAACTATCATGGGTTGCTAATATGACTAGGATAATGCCTTTTGGCTGCTAGACAATGAAACAAAGTTTCTTTATAAAAATAATTGCCTCCACGTTTCTATGGTGGAATTTTGGCTATAGGCTACTTTGAAGCAAGATACAGTGGGGAAAAAAAGTATTTAGTCAGCCACCAATTGTGCAAGTTCTCCCACTTAAAAAGATGAGAGAGGCCTGTAATTTTCATCATAGGTACACGTCAACTATGACAGACAAATTGAGAAAATCAAATACCAGAAAATCACATTGTAGGATTTTTTATGAATTTATTTGCAAATTATGGTGGAAAATAAGTATTTGGTCACCTACAAACAAGCAAGATTTCTAGCTCTCACAGACCTGTAACTTCTTCTTTAAGAGGCTCCTCTGTCCTCCACTCGTTACCTGTATTAATGGCACCTGTTTGAACTTGTTATCAGTATAAAAGACACCTGTCCACAACCTCAAACAGTCACACTCCAAACTCCACTATGGCCAAGACCAAAGAGCTGTCAAAGGACACCAGAAACAAAATTGTAGACCTGCACCAGGCTGGGAAGACTGAATCTGCAATAGGTAAGCAGCTTGGTTTGAAGAAATCAACTGTGGGAGCAATTATTAGGAAATGGAAGACATACAAGACCACTGATAATCTCCCTCGATCTGGGGCTCCACGCAAGATCTCACCCCGTGGGGTCAAAATGATCACAAGAACGGTGAGCAAAAATCCCAGAACCACACGGGGGGACCTAGTGAATGACCTGCAGAGAGCTGGGACCAAAGTAACAAAGCCTACCATCAGTAACACACTACGCCGCCAGGGACTCAAATCCTGCAGTGTCAGACGTGTCCCCCTGCTTAAGCCAGTACATGTCCAGGCCCGTCTGAAGTTTGCTAGAGTGCATTTGGATGATCCAAAAGAGGATTGGGAGAATGTCATATGGTCAGATGAAACCAAAATATAACTTTTTGGTAAAAACTCTACTCGTCGTGTTTGGAGGACAAAGAATGCTGAGTTGCATCCAAAGAACACCATACCTACTGTGAAGCATGGGGGGTGGAAACATCATGCTTTGGGGCTGTTTTTCTGCAAAGGGACCAGGACGACTGATCCGTGTAAAGGAAAGAATGAATGGGGCCATGTATCGTGAGATTTTGAGTGAAAACCTCCTTCAATCAGCAAGGGCATTGAAGATGAAATGTGGCTGGGTCTTTCAGCATGACAATGATCCCAAACACACCGCCCGGGCAACGAAGGAGTGGCTTCGTAAGAAGCATTTCAAGGTCCTGGAGTGGCCTAGCCAGTCTCCAGATCTCAACCCCATAGAAAATCTTTGGAGGGAGTTGAAAGTCCGTGTTGCCCAGCGACAGCCCCAAAACATCACTGCTCTAGAGGAGATCTGCATGGAGGAATGGGCCAAAATACCAGCAACAGTGTGTGAAAACCTTGTGAAGACTTACAGAAAACGTTTGACCTGTGTCATTGCCAACAAAGGGTATATAACAAAGTATTGAGAAACTTTTGTTATTGACCAAATACTTATTTTCCACCATAATTTGCAAATAAATTCATTAAAAATCCTACAATGTGATTTTCTGGATTTCTTCTTCTCATTTTGTCTGTCATAGTTGACGTGTACCTATGATGAAAATTACAGGCCTCTCTCATCTTTTTAAGTGGGAGAACTTGCACAATTGGTGGCTGACTAAATACTTATTTTCCCCACTGTAAGACATGCCTCATAATATGAAGTAAAACGTCCAGGTTTCAAACAATTAAGAAACTGGGAAAATATAGCGATGCTAATGTTAGGACTAACTATCTTCTGGTAGATGGAAAGGCTTTCCCAGAAACCTTCTCTATTAAATGTTAACTAGCTATGCCTACCTTTCAGAATGATATCATGATTATTTGCGTCAATCCAGTGGACATTTCTTTTGCAAACTCCATCTCATGTGCTACAGAAACAACGCTAATCAAACAATAGGGCTAGGTGCCTGCACATGTGAATTAAAGGGTTACTCAAAAATATCTAAATTTCTTCGATTTTCCCAGACCTCAAAAGTGGTCTCCTGATGTGGTTTAAGCCTTGATATTGACTTAGAACATACAATTATGTTGTTTTTCTGTTTAAAAAAGGATGACTTTGACCTGAAAAAATTGGGGGAAATCTGAAACCTGTGAATTTATGACTCAGTTTTTCTGTTTCAATAGCAGGCCTACTATTATCCTACTTCACAGTACAGCTTGGGTTGGCCTGACTGTGAAAGACCAATATTGTATTTATCATTGTAGGTCATTCATAGGTCATTCTTTCTTATCAAATTTTTCAGACAGGGCGCCTTTTCTTCGCCGGACAGGCCGTTTGGAAAACTAAAGGGCAAAATTAGAGTATACCTGCACCACTACACCACTGCCCCAACCAAAAACCCTAGATGAACGGAGATATCCGTACAATGCTGATAGCCCGTACTGCAGCATTCAATGTCAGCAGAACGAACCCGATGACTCGGTGGCGCGCGACGCGTACAAGGCAACCAAGTACGAGCTCCCCAAATCCATTAGGGACGCAAAAAGACAATACAGACTCAAACCTTAAATTGATGTTCGACAACTCAGACTCACGACGCATGTGGCAAAGACTACACACTACCAAAGACTACAAAGGCAAATCCAGCTGTGCGGTGCCCACCGAAGCCTCCCTCCCAGACAAGCTCAACACATTCTATGCTCGCTTCGAGGCAGACAATACCGAGGTATCCAGGAAAACTCTCGCTGCTCCAGACGACCAGGTGCTTTCGCTCTCCGAGGGTGATGTGAGGAAAACTCTCAAACGAGTGAATACTCACAAAGCCACCAGCCCAGATGGCATCCCTGGCCGTGTCCTCAGAGTGTGTGCTGACCAGTTGGCAGGCGTCTTCTCAGACATCTTCAACCTGTCCCTCTCCCTGGCTGTAGTCCTCACCTGCTTTAAGGAGACCACCATCATCCCAGTGCCCAAGAAAAACAAGGTGACATCCCCAAATGACTATCGCCCGTCGCGCTCACCTTGGTCATCATGAAGTGCTTCGAGAGGCTGGTCATGGCCCACATCAAGGCCAGCATCCCACGCACACTGGACCCACTCCAATTTGTCTACCGCTCCTACAGATCCACGGAAGATACCATTTCCATCGCTACTCACATGGCCGTAACACATCTGGACAAGAGGAACACCTATGTGAGAATGCTGTATATTGACTACAGTTCAGCATTCGACACTACTGTTCCCTCCAAGCTCGACACCAAGCTCAGAGCCCTGGGTCTGGACACCACCCTCTGCAACTGGATCCTGGACTTCCTGACGGGCAGACCACAGGCTGTGAGGATTGGCAACAACACCTCCTACACACTGACTCTTAACACAGGTGTCCCTCAGGAGTGTGTCCTCAGCCCTCTGCTGTACTCCCTGTTCACCCACGACTGCGTGACTTTGAACGACACCAACTCCATCATCAAGTTTGCTGACGACACCACGGTTGTAGGCCTGATAACCAACAACGAGTTAGCCTATAGGGAGGAGGTAAGTGAACTGGCATTGTGGTGCCAGGACAACAATCTCTCCCTCAATGTCAGCAAAACAGAGTTGATTTTTGACTTCAGGATGCAGAGGAGGAAACATTCCCTGATCCACATCAACAGGACTACAGTAGAGAGAGTCAAGAGTTTTAAGTTCCTCTGTGTCCACGTCACCGAGGACTTGTTATGGACCAACAACACCACCACCATTGTCAAGAGGGCGCGGCAGCGTCTCTACTTCCTAAGGTGGCTGAAGAAATTCGGCAAGCCACCCCGGGTCCTCTCCAAATACTACCGCTGCACCATCGAGAGCGTCCTGACCGGTTGCTTCACGGCCTGGTATGGGAATTGTTCCGTCCACAACCGCAAGGCCCTCCAGCAGATGGTGAAGACGGCCCAGTACATTACTGGAACCGTGCTCCCACCCATCCAGGACATATACTTGAAACAGTGCCTGAGGAAAGCCAGCAGCATCATCAAGAACCCCACACACAAGCTGTTCTCTCCCTTACCGTCATGAAGATAGTATCGGAGCATGAGGTCTGATACCAACAGACTCAGAGACAGTTTGTATCTACACGCCATCAGACTGCCGAACACTTGAACTGGACTGACCACCTGCTTTGATTCTCCACACCTTAGCACACATGCACTCACTCATGCAACCCCCCCCCACATAAACACCACATTCATGCTACACACACATCACAACTGCTGCTACCAGACTCTTATTATACTGCTCAATTTATACACTTGCCCCCACCCATAGTGATATACTTATCATTCAGACCTCTATCCAAGCGACTTACATATGAATAATATCTTTTATATGCCCCTGGACAAACCACACACAACATCTTCACACAATGGCTGTGTTTACACGACAGACCAATTTGATCTTTTGCCCCACTAATGGACTTTTGGACCTATCAAAGATCAATTAAATTGGTTGCCAAAGATCAAGGAATGGGGCTCCTGTGTAAAAAACAAGCCATAGAAAACACACATACACATTCATAAACAATTACATATAGGGCACTGACACCAGGGACTTGGAACGTATGTGGATGTATAGATGGCACCACACTCATAGGTACGTGTTTAGAAACAGCGGGGGCTGCCCAAATTCGGGGAATGAATTTTTTGCCCACTAATTGTTCTTGAACCAATCAGATCAAGCTCTTGGAAAGGAAAAAAAAAGATTCAATTCTGACTGGTGAAAAAGAATTCTGATTGTTGTGATTGGTCAAAATACAAATTAGGGAATTGGCTGCTTTTTCTAAACACGCAGCAATATTAAGCATTTAGATTATAAAACACGCAAAACCAACTCAACCACACAGCACAGTTGTTTGGCATCTCTAACTTCTATTTTAACCTATAATGTCGGTCCACTCACCAGAACATTCCTTTCCACTCTCCCCTCCTCTCCCTCCCCCTCCCTCCCCGTCTGGTTACAGTAATCTGGGAGGTGGTTTCCTGGAGGGAGTTTTGCAGACATCTCCAAGGGAGGACCAGAATCCAGAAGCTTCACGACCTGCTGGGTTCCCCACAGTGTTTGAGGAGGCTGGAAGGCTGACGTCCTTCAAAGAAAAACTGGCGGCCAAGACTGTAGCTTTTATCGTTACACGAAAGTGGAAACTCCGCCCCTATGCAGAGAATCAGAAAGAAGTAGGAAAGGAGGAGTGGAGGTGGGGAAGGGTGGGAGAGAGTTGGTTGGGAATGGGGGGTGGGGGGGGGAGGGGGCATTGGGAGGGGAGGAGAGAAGGATAGAGGGAGACGAGAGTGAGAGAGAAAGAGGAGAGAGGAGGGATGAGAGGGAGGGGAGGCGGGGATGAGGGAGGGGTGTGGGGATGGGAGGGTGGTGGAGGAAAAAGGGAAAAAGGAGGAAAGAAGAGAGAAAAAGAAGAGAAAAGAAAAAAAAAAAGAAGAAAGAAAGAAAGAAAAGAGAAAGAAAAGGGGGAAGAAAAAAGAAAGAGAGGAGACGAAGAGAGAGAGGGGAGGTGAGGGATGAGGAAGGAGGGGAGAGAGAGGAGAAGGAGGTGAGAGATGGGGGGGGGAGTGAGGAGAGAGGGAAGGGTGGGGGGGGGGCAGGTAGGGAGGGAGGAGAGAGATCGGAGACACGGAAGTAGAGGCAGATGAGGAAGGAGCCGGGATGAGATGGGAGGATAGAGGAACGAGAGAGAGAGAGACAAGCCCTTAAAATTGAAATTGAATTGAATTGATGGGTAGTTGAGAGAGGAGGGAGGTCATGCTCAAACATGAGGATCCTGTTATTTATTTCAGTTTTTTTTTGTTTTTTGTTTTTTTTTTTTTAGAATGAGATGATAAACAACTCGAATTCTAAAAAATAATTCAACAGGCAAAAGAAGTGATGAACAACAAAAACTCTATTTAAATCAGTCTGAATAGAAAAAAAAAAGTAAAACTTTTGCGCCTCAAAATTATAAAGAAGAAGTTAAGTTTTGGGTAAAGTAGTTTTTGACTCTCACTAGCTAGCTACACAACAAAAAACCTAGGCCTAGGCAGGCTAACAAGCCAGGCCAGAAAAATTGGATGGATAGGAAAACCCTAGCAATGGGGAGGTATACATTACATCAAGCGCGACCCAAACTGGAGTGAGTATGTATCAAAAAGGGAGCAACGGAGACCCCAAAACTTCAAACATATCTTTCTGTTTTGTGTGTGTGAAGATTCCTTTCAACTCTTTTTGGCTGTTCTTTGAGCGCTATGAGCTAAAACAGGAGGCTTAGCTAGCCAACAGCAGCAGACAGACAAAAACAAAAAAAACTGGTTGCCCATAGTGGCAACGGTTTGCAGCCAGAACAGAGGCAGCAGGGCAGCAGCAAGTAGTAGCAGAGCCCACAGCACCATGTCCCACTCCCCCTCAGCAACTGAGTCCATTCTATACCCCCAGAGGCCCAAAATGATCAACAAAAACAAGGAAAGCTTGTTTTTTTTTTTTTAAACAGAATCTACTGAAGTGGGAGGCCAGAAAGAACAGAAGATAAACCTTTTCACAGGAACCTCTACAAAACGGTGATGTGAGTTGTGAGGAATTCATCTTTCTCACTGACAGCAAAATTGCATGTGCGCTCGCAGTCTGCTCTCAATACCCATCCGTGTATTTTTAAAGAAAAAGGGGAATAATCTTGTACCCCCACCCCCCCCCCCCCCTTATGGGTGGAAAGCTGAAAGTTGAAAAGATGAACCAGATGGACCCTGACAGCACACCATGATACAATCAACCTCTCAAGAACGATCTGTCATGGTGCAATGGTATAACCTTTAGGCTGTTTGAAACAGGGACTTTCAGACCAATTAATATTATAAGGGAGGTGAGAAGAGGCAGAGCAATAGAGATGGAGAAAGGACCACCCATCCAGTGGACATGGCCCTCCCACCAAGGACAAACTCCACCAGGCACCACCCTCACCCCCACTTTACCCCCACCCCCCAAAAAAGGGCCAACAACCACATCCAGCCACCTCCCTTCCAACCATAGTGGAGGAAAACTACGCCACAGGAGGGAGGAGAGGCGGGGACCCCCCTCTCAGTGGCCGAGAGGCTCAGGCCTACTCACCAAACAATGGATCTTGTGCCCCAATTTTGAGGGAGGATATCAGTTTCACCACACTGGAGGGGAAAGAGGGAGGAGGTGGTCTGCTCAGGCGAGAAAGAGTGTGTGAGCCCCCCCCCCAAACAGCAACCAGACATCCATCACCCTAGAGGAGCGTTCCTAACCCAAAGGTGCGGACAGCCCAGAGGACAGGAGCAGTGAACCAGCAGCCTGCCAACCACAAGTTTGAAAGAAAGTTCAGCAAGAGAGAGAAAAGGACTCAAAAGACAGAGAGAGGCTGGCTGATTATACAAAAAGGAGGTGGGAGGAAGCTCAAAAAAAAAAGACAAGGCAGAAGCATGTAGTAGTATATAATTAACGATGGCTGACCACACTTAAGAGAGGAGCTGCAGTGACGGGAGGAAAAAGAGGAACAGAAGGACAGGACTGCAGGAGCAGCTAAGTAGATCACCCACTCTATGGACCTGACCATGTCAACAAGGCAGAGAGGAAGAGGCCCACCTCAACCCAGCCAGGGGCTCCCCAGCACCTTGCCGGCTTGCATTACCTCCCCCCCCAGCCCCCAGAACAGCCTCCCACTGACAGCTAAGGTACCGGGCACCAGACAAGCCACACCCCCAGCTCCAAAACACCCAACCAGCCCCAACTCTACCCCCCCTCCAGTCCAGAAAGAACAAAAAACTGGCTGAGATTTGTCCTGTTGTTGAGGACTAAAATGGGAAAGTTTGGTTCAGGGAGAAAGAAACAACTTTTAATTGAGAAAGAAAACTTTTCCTAGACAACAATAACGAGACAGAAAGGGGGAAAAGGTGTGGGCCCAACAAACGGCAGAAGTGCCATGGGCACTGCTTGATAAGGCCCCAGCTTGGGTCGCGCCAAGCCACATAATTCATACACACCGGAAAGCAACGACCTTGCGTGCTCAGGCAGGAGGAGGGTGGCGACTCACTACGGGGAGTGATTGAGGAGGCCTCCGCAAATTTTCCCCAAACTCAAGTGATCTGGTGTCAAACCTTCTACAGAGGAAGGACTTCCCCCCTGCCCACAATCAAAGAAATAACGCCAGCTTCTTCCCGGGGACTGTGGCCCTGCGACCCAGTATGTTACACCCTGGCCCAATACCATCCACCTCGATTCTGGACTGTCTTCATGGACCATGGTTTAACTTGTACAGGGGAGACCTAATGTCCCATCCTTTGTAATTAAGAATCTCAAGGACGTCGCCTTTTTCTTTTTAAACCGCGGCATCACGGACCTCTCCACCCAGACAGCGGGAAGGAGGCAAATCTCACCCCCCCCGAATGATTCACAGAGGACACAACCCACCCCGGGACCAGTTAACCCTGGGACCCCCCAGCCACAGCCATACCAGCACCACCAAAAAACTCAATGCCCACACATCCAGCGCCAGGCAACAACCAACCCCCCAGCCCCCCAGCTTCAGACCGCCACCCCAGAGACGGAGGCCTAACACAAACCCCCCCCCCCCCACCACAGACCCAACACCTGGAGGAGCCACAGCCAGGCAGACAGGGAGCTATGCACAAGCTGTGAGAGGAGCAACTGGTCCAGCTCCCCACCAACGAAATGAGTGACATCAAACAAATGCTGAATCTACTATGCTCACATGTGATAGGCCGAGGGTCATGGTAAGATGAGCACAAGAACTCCACCATCCTCCACACTACATCCACCCAAGTGGCATGACACAAATACTATCTTAAATGATAAACAAATCACATTTGCATAATAAGAGTTTACCTTAATTGAAAAATCATATTTTAATAGTTCTTGTTGGATTGTGAGTGTTTATCTCATTTTGAATGTAAAGAAAAAACAGTTATGAAGTCTTTTTTACGTTGCATGTTGGAATTTACAAGGCTTGAAGTCCTCTGCTTTTGGGCTAAAGAGCAGAAACCCAGACTTCCTTAAAGAAATTGATGATGTTGATATTGTAGAACTACAGGAAACATGGTGCAGAGGTGATGTTTCCACTGGCTGTCCACTAGGTTATAGGGGGATAATCGTACCATCCACCAAATTAAAAGGAATCACACAGGGCAGAGACTCAGGGGGAATGCTAATATGGTATAAATCTGAACTAACTAATTCAATCGAATTGATCAAAACAGGAGAATTCTTTATCTGGCTAAAAATCAACAAGGAGGCTATCTTAACAGATAACAACGTCTTCCTCTGTGCCACATACATTCCCCCCTCAGAGTCACCCTACTTCAATGAAGAGAGTTTCTCCATTCTAGAGGGGGAGATTAGTCACTTTCAGGCCCAAGGCAATGTGCTGGTCTGTGGAGACCTGAATGCTAGAACAGCAGAAGAACTAGACACTATTAACAGTCATGGGGACAAACACCTACCGGGAAGCAACAACCTTTCCCTCCCCCACATACCCCCCCTAGAAACAACTATGACAAAGTGAAAAACAAAAATGGAGTACAGCTCCTGAAGCTCTGTCGAACACTGGGTCTGTACAAAGTCAATGGTAGGTTAAAAGGGGACTCTTTTGGTAGGTACACCTACAGCTCATCCCTTGGCAGCAGTACTGTAGACTACTTCATCACAGACCTTAACCCAGAGTCTCTCAGAGCCTTCACAGTCAGCCCACTAACACCTCTCTCTGACCACAGTAAAATCACAGTGTATCTGAAAAGAGCAGAACCTAACCATGAAGCATCACGGCCCAATAAATTACATGGTACTAAACAGACCTATAGATGGAGTGCAAACAGTACAGAAATCTACCAAAAAGCAATTAGTAGCCAAAAAATACAATCTCTCTGTCACGATCGTCGAACAGAGATGAGGACCAAGGCGCAGCGTTGCAGGCAAACATACTCTTTATTAGAGACACGAACAAAACGAAAACGTGACAGTTCACGGTCTAACACAACAGACTAGAAACAAGATCCCACAAACTCTGTGGGGAAACAGGCTGCTAAAGTATGGTTCTCAATCAGAGACAACAAGCAACAGCTGAATCACGTTGCCTCTGATTGAGAACCACACTGGCCAACATAGAACAACAATACTAGAATGTGAAACCTAGAACAAAACACATAGACTTTACACACCCTGGCTCAACATATTAGAGTCCCCAGAGCCAGGGCGTGACACTCTCCTGGACAACTTTTTAGCATTAACATTCTCCTACACCAATGAAGGTATAAATTTGGCC